CTTCTTTTACCATAAAAGGCACACACAAAACCAGCTTGTGTCATAAAATTCGGACCCGTATGAAATATACCTGCTGAATTTGTAGTGGAAAAGGTCCCAGTGAGTTCTCTATCATAACAGATGGAATAGGGCCCCACCTTCTTTTGGTTCGCTTGAGAACTGTATCTCTAGCATGCCTGGTCTTCTGTGTCTGGGTCTAAAAGATAAAAAAAACAGGTAAGAATATGTCCATATATTCTTAACCGTGTATATTTTTGTTTAACTACTGTTCTGCGTTTCCACTTTTTTCCCCTCTGTTCCAGCTTTCCCACTGACCATCTATTTTTCCAAGGTCTTAATTTCTGATTTTACCTGCGATATTCTTCCAAGAGGTTTTTCATTTATTGTCATGCTCTACACGAATAAAATTTGCTTTAATTCCTTAAATGTGGCTTTTAAGATTCCTGACATTCCTGATTAAGCTCCTTGCTAGCATCTCCCATTTTAGCAAGGCAGTCTGCTGACCTAAGCAGCAGTATTCAACAACTTCTAAATAAAAATAACACTCTACTCCAGCGTGCTCGGCCTGATTATTTGAATTCCAAAATTCAACGACAGTAACCCAGCAGGAAGCTCTACTCTGGGAAATGCTATTTCAAATAAGTAAGGTACCTTGAGACTTGAAGCTCACCTTTTTTTCTTCTTGCACCAAGCTAACGGGTATTTTCTTTTGTACTCGTTCTTGAGTGTCTTCAAGTAATATGGTAAAAGTCTTCTTCTCAGCAGACAAAGAAAGAGCTGATGTTGTGTACACAGAACCATCCTCTAGAATTTTAAAGTTCCCATCGCTGGAACTGATAAACTCTGCAGACTGAAGGCATTCTTTCAAATCAACTGTAAGAAAAAAAATATTCAGACAATAACTCAAGCAACAGAACAGTAACATCCCTCACCAAACAAACAAAAAAGTTCCCTAAGTAAAAATTCGATTTACTGACACATGGAGTCTTCAAAAATTTGGTCATTCAGTATTTAAGCACCACAAATACAGATTCTAGACCCCAGGTATGCACTCGGATTTGACCAAGCTTACTCAGTAATTTGCAATTTTAAATTTTCTTAACAAAAAAAATGTAGCAACTTCCACACTTGTGTTTGTTAAATGTTTCCCAAAGGACAAGGGTGCTTCACGAACATCTTTCAACAAGACACTATTACACTGGCAAAATGACTGAAGCATCGCAGATGAACTAATACATCTCAGTACAAAAAGCATTGTAGACACACTCGTCACTGGATCAGGAGCTACTGCCTTTGCCTCGTGCTCCATGCCCCACAAAAATCACTGCAGATGATTAATTAATGCAAATGCCCAATGGAGATACTACATCTTGGCAGTTTCGCCCTCAGGAGGAAAGCACTGACTGGTACTATGTGATTTAATAGTCTTGGGAGGACAAAGGCCTTTAAATTAAGAGGCAGACAGATGGGAGAGATAAAGACTAGAACAAACCATTGGCAATTTTTTAATATGTACATGGTAGACTCCCATGCAGTTTCTAGTAAGTACCAGGTAAGTTCAGGATATTTTTTAGTGTATTTGCTATCACTTGTGGCTAAAATAAACTTTAATGCACTTCAATGAATTCAGTTCATCTCTAAGTTAACTCAGCACCACAGCTGGAGAAAAAGCAGAATCAGGATAATCATAATGAACCGCAGCAAGACCGCAGCAGTGAGCAACAGCTATTTGGCACCCTGAAAACAAAAGATGAAGGCCAGAGACCTCAACTCAAGGCAAACGACCCTGGCAGAGTACAAGAGGTGTCAGTGTCGTGTTCTCAAAATTAAAACTTTTCAATACCCCTTTGATGATATCATAGTGGATGAGACCTTACTCTATGAAAGCTGACTGCAGAATTCCCATAGTAGAGTAGATTCAGAATTTCACCCCATGTATGTAGATTCTATCCGCAATAAATCAAATTTCATTCTCTTTAAGGAATGCAAGAACAGATGGGAAGCGTAATTTTAAATATGACGTGATTCCTCACTTTCTCTTCTTAAGTCTTTCTTTTGACTGCTCAATGAACATTTCCCAGACTTTCTGTAGTACTGCAGCGGTGACTTGTCAATCTGTACAACGACAATTTAGTACTGAAGAGAGCATCGCTGCCTCATTTAAAGGTGTCTCATACTGCTGCATACCACAGCACTGCACTTCCAAAAATACCAGACTGGAGATTTTGTTTCTGACGGTTATGTGAGTCAACGTTATGCTCAGTCAGCCACAGCTTTCTGGGATCTTTTTTCTTTACAGCCTCTCATATATGTTGCGTAAGCCAGAAATATTAAAAAACTTTACAATAACCAGGAAAAACCCAGCTCTTTTTATTGTCAAGGTATGGTCCTTGTATCAATGCAAAATAAAGTATGCGTTCTCAATAAATGTTTAAGTAATGTCATTCAAGCTATAAAGGTTTTGTTTAATGTTTGGGAAAAAAAAAGTTTATGTTATGCAATTCCTTTTATAGCACTGTAATAGCATGAAGTTTTGGTTTTATATAAATCAGGTTCATTTACACAGAGAAATGCTCAAGTCTCTGAGAACACACTAAATACTTCAACAGCTGCAGCAACCTTTTTCATTTTTAAAATTTAACAGTGAGGTCAATGAACTTCCATTTCTAAAGCTAGGTTTTCTGAGCACTTGTGTTGTGACCGACTGCCAATCCACCTCATTTGTTCCTTCTGTAGGAACGTGGATCAGGATTGCAGATTTGGAGCCTATTCCTCTGCTGCCCTAGGACTCACACAGGGCACCTCCGAATCCTCAAGCTCACTCTCAGGCAGCACAGCCCCCTGGAGCAGCTCCTACCCCACCCCTTTAAAAGCTGCCTTTCAAAGACTGGTCTGAAGGAGAAAAAAAAAAAGACGAGGGGGGTGTTTTCTGCTCTCCCCTACTCCTCTCGGTCACCTGCACGCTGCCCTGACTGAGACAGCCCACCCAGTCAGACCAGAGCACTCTCCCAACCAAATGGGCGTGCAGGGCACCTCTGTGCGGTCCTGAGCGCCCCAGCACCGCTGCGGGTCACACCCGGGCCTCACGGAGCGGCAGCTTCTGGGTGCTCGGTTGTGCAGCTTTTGTCTTCTTTCCTTTCTTTTCCATTATCCAAATGACTCACTGCCTTCTTCACACGACTCTGTGGGTTACGGGTGTGCTTTGAACATCAAGCTCCTTATTTAAACACTGAGCCCCAGACTCCAAATTCTGGAAATATTAAACTGCCATTCTCATTTTAAAATAAATACTGTAACCGGACAACAGCTGTTTACGCAGAAGTCAAATGGATGCACAGAGCCAGTGTCCAAATCCGTAACAAACACAGGGCGTATCCTTCACAAAAACGCTGATCCAGCTGTTGAACTGGCTGTCCAGTCATCCATTCATTCCATTTAAAAAAAAAAAAAAAAAAAAGTCTCCTTCCCTGTTAACAGCATCTCCAGCAAAGGTGCAATGTTAAGACAGGCATCTCGCAGTTTCTCACCTCTGCCAACTAACGTGTCAGCCTCTAGTTCGGAAGGAACATGAAAAATTACTTTCTTGCAAGCTTCACAGCACAAACTCAGTACCTAGAAAATAAAGTAAGAAATCAGGGGGAAAAAAAACAACAATTACGCGGTATTTTGAATAATAACTACCAACACTGAAGCTGCCTTTGGTGTGTTTGGTTTTTAAGACGAGCCAGTGAAAGGGCACAGAAAGCACTCTTCAGCTCAAAATTCAGGTACCACGCACAGCAAAGTTTCAAACTGGAAACAAGATCGGACTGCTGCTCCTGCCTATGTCCAGGGCTTGTGGGGTTTTTTCCTAAAATCACAGCAGCACTAACATTAACAGCAAGAGCTCTCCGAGTAGAAGATTTCACCTACACTAGTACTTTAGCAGCGGAAAGGTAACACAGAGCTCCGCTGTGCCCTCCCTCTAACAGCGTTCTCGGCCAGTTTAGATCCCAGGTCTCTGACTATTCGGGCACAACCGTGGGGATGCTGAACATTAAAGGCACCAGTGTCATTAAAACCACATGACGACGCTTGTACTTACGTATCGCTTTGCATCTTCAGAGCACCTTCTCAACAAACTCATTAAATCTAGCTTCAGCAATTAGATATGACACAAATAAAACGCCGTGTATCACAGCAGTCCACTCCCATATAACCAGTTACAAAGTGGGTCCTCCTCAAAATTCAAATGAGTAGTAGATAACCAGACCTTTTTATAAAAAGAATCATATGGAGGTACAAAGATTTTCCTCAGCACAGAGCCATTTAGTCCTGATTATATTCATGTGTGTATATATATATATATATATATCTTGCCTCGTTTAAATCCAGATCTTTAAAACTGTAATCCAAAAATCACACAGCCACTTTAACAAAGAAACAGAGAAATGTAAATAAATGCATTCACCCTTTTAAGTACATTTATTCTTTCAGGATGAAAGTCTAGCAAAAAGGAAAGTAGCTTTTACTTTGCACGTACCTGTAGCATTAAAGGTGTAAAGAAGTAAATAGATAATGAAAATTCTGAAAACGACTTGCAATTCTTATTAAGAAGATATTTAAATAGAAATACTTTAAAATCTTTATGACATTAGGAACCTTTAGAAAAACAGCGATCAGCTAAAAAAATGAAGTTGAAATGTGGAATTTAATCATTGCATTAAAGCAATTTAAATGCTGTGTCTGCACCACAAAAGCTCTTCATACTGTTCCTTACATATATACAGAGATATAACAATATGTATACATAAAACAATTTAAGCATCCCTTCTTATGTATTAGTAGGCACTTTCCTTAATAACAGATACGTAATAAAACACTCTCTCTTGATAGAGGTCGCATTAATTTTTAAGTTATTAAAATCACACCATCTTATTACATTGTTCTAAGATATTTTAAGATTCAATGGCATCTAATTTTGAAACAGTAATGCCAAGCTAGTCTGATGTCAGCATGAAGAACTATTGAGGTGCTCAACAAATGCAAATGGTAGTTATTCGCGGATAGCACGATATAAGGAAACACCAGGTAAAAAGCTGTGATGCCCTTTCACTTTACATAAAGACAACACTTCATCAGGTTTTGTGTTTTGGGGTTTTTTTCTACTTGACAGGGGAATATCTTTTTTTTTTTTTTTAACTAGACGTGCGAGTAAGCTCGCTTGGGTTTCATTATTAATATCCCAGCAAAGGCAGGCATGCAAAGCAACACTTTCATTCAAATGCACATCTATAATTAATACAAAAATAATAAATTCAGTGCTTCCACACTACTGAGTATTTTTCTTTCAGGCTCAAACGACCATCTGCCCTCTCTCTGTGAGCGCGATGACAACGGGGAAGAAAGGGGGCAAGAAACAACAGACAAATCACTTTCACTCTTCCACTCCAATAAAAACCCAAACCCAAAAGGGAGCGAGAACTGCCCGACAACGGCAGCCGGTCATCATGTACGAAAACTAAACCGAAGGCCAAGGTAACCCCTGAAGCGCTTCCCGAGGAGCTCAACCCCCCGCCCCCCGGAGCAGGGACAGCCGTCGGGGGGCCGAGGGGACACAAACTAAACCGAAGGCCAAGGTAACCCCTGAAGCGCTTCCCGAGGAGCTCAACCCCCCGCCCCCCGGAGCAGGGACAGCCGTCGGGGGGCCGAGGGGACAC